GAATGTGAGGAGAGGAGAGAGGGTTGCAATCAGGATGCAAATTGAATAAATAATTTTTAAAAAGAATAAATAGTGAGGGGAACAAGGACTATTTCTAACAGGAACTCAATGGCTGGCTCTTTGGCCTCCCCACCCACCAAGGGAGAAGCAGTCCTGTTAGGCCACAAAGGAGGGCTTTGCAGCCAGTCCTGAAGATACCTGATAAAACAGGATCAGATGAATGGGGAGGAGCCCCCCCCCAATAGTGGACTTGGAAAGGGGCAGGGTGGAAATGAGGGAGGGAGGGTGAGATTGGGAGGGAATGAGGGAGCTGGATACAGCTGGGATACAGAGTTGATAAAATGTAACTGGTAAGAAAAAAGAAAATTAAAAAGAAAAAAAAGAATAAATATAAAGAAATTAAAATAGAATATATGCATATGTGTTGTTATATAACACATTTTTAAAAAATACTGTATTCTGCATATGACCTATATTTAGATGTATTGGTGCTCCCGAACTTTGATGAGGTACATCCAATTATTTTGTTGTTGTTTTTTTGAGAGAGAATATAGTTAGTATGTATCCCAGTCTTGCCACCTTGAACTTACTATGTAGCCCAGTTTCTCTTTAGAATTATAATCCTAGTTCCTTGGCCTCACTGATCCCAGGGTACAAGTATGACTCAAAACATACAACTCTTCTTCATCATTTAACATAAGAAGTTTATCTTTTTTTGATATATGATTAAAGGCAACAAAATAATAGGAGGTCAAACTCTGTCTCAAAAAATCAGTCACGTATATTTTCACATCACATTGAATGTAGGTGCAACATTTACTTGCTATTATCTTGGAACTATGACAGTTATCGGACTCTGAGGTATGTCATTATTTAATCTAGTAACTATTTGGAGATAATATCAGACCCTAGTTGAAAATGAACATTAAAAAATATTTACAAAAAATATATTGGTAAGATGTAAAGAATATGTACTAACATTCAGTTAGCAATGTGAACCAGCACAGCCAGTTTGAAGAACAGTAAGTACCTCAAGAAACTAAAATACAGTCCCTGTATGAAGCAGATATATTCATCTTGAGTTCATATTCAAGGACCTAATGTTTGCCCATCAAAGATTCATGAATTATCATGCTTGTCACAACACTAAAAGAAAATGAGTTAGGATATATATATATATATATTCTATACACATGTAACGTTTATATGCATACATAAACATACTCACACATTAAATCTTAAAGAGAGTTGGATGTTTTCAGTCATACCTATATTCTGGGATTGGAACGGAGGAAGAAGCAGGTTACAATTCTTTCTTTTTTTCTACTTTTTTCCATTTATGTATTAATTTAATCTCTTTACAGCCTGATCCCAACACCTTCTGTCCTCTCCTCCTAGTCTCTTCCTCATGCTCTCCTCCCACCATTTCTCTCTATCCTCTTCCTCAAAAAAAGGTGACCCCCATATGAACCTTCCCAGGTTCCTGAAGTCACAACAGAACTAAGCTCATCTTCTCCCACAGTGGCCTAACAAGGCTTCACAACTAGGGGGAAGGGATTCAGTGGCAAGCAACAGAGTCAGAGACATCCCCTCTTCCATTGTTAGGAGCCCCATATGTTGACCATGCTACACATCTGCTACACATATGTAGGGGTCTTGGTCCAGCCCATGCATGCTCTTTGGTTGGTGCTTCAGTCTATGTGAGTCCCCATGGGTCCAAGTTAGTTGACTCTGTAGGTCTTCGTGTGGTATCCTTGATGGTCCCAAGGAAAGATGTTGAATCTCACTCAGAAAAAAAGATAAATAGATATTTGGAGTAGATGGAGGGAGGAAACTGGGTGGAAGGGGTTGTGGGGAGAGTAACAGGGGTGAGGACCAGGTGTGAAGAGAGCAATGAATGGTGGAATTAGAGGACATCCACCTGACAGAGGAGGATCCTGGGAGTCCATGGAGGTGACCTCGAGCAGGAGCGTTTAAGGAGCCTGAAGTTGCCCCTGCCCATAGCCAGGTGGGATTTCCAGCGGAGCGAGGAGGACACCAAATCAGCCATAAAACCTTCCACCCAAAATTCGTCTTGCCTGCAAGAAGTGCAGGGTAAAGATGGAGCAAGACTGAGGGAATGGTAAACAAATGAATAGCCCAACTTGAGATACACCCTATGGGTTCTAACATCCTACTGTACAGTAGCATGGCCATAGACAACAATAGCACATTGCAAATTTCAAAATCTATAAGGAAGTAGCTATATGCTTTCCTGGAACTAACAGTAAATGCCTGCATGCATCCGATAAGAATTAAATAGTATGCAAAGTGTCTGTATTTAAACATGGCATAGGACATCGTTAGCATATAGTAATTTACGATTTTGTAGTCTATGAATGTAATTTAAAATAAGTATTTAAAAGAGAAATATATTTTAATCATTTTAAGTCAAATAATGTTGAGCAGTAATAATTTTCTCATGAATGCACAGGCATGTGTCCTCTATAATTTTACATTTGATTTTACTTGTTTAACTATTATTTAAAAATATGTGAGAATTTTAAATCTGAGCAGATACTTATGTGTTTCAAATTTAAACCAGCATCACAATGTTGGAAATTCAAGATTCCATTAATTTCTTATTTAAGCTTGAAGTTAATTCTTAAATGTTTTTATTTATTTTGTGGTGATTTTGCTTTCTTTCTGAAACAGTTTCTGAAATTTTTGTTTGTTTGTTTGTTTGTATGCATTATTTCTGCCCAAATAACTTCCAACTATAATGATTGAAGACATTTATTTCTGAAAATCTTGATATCTCATTTTCTGTATGTTCTGTATATTCTGTATATTCTGTGGTGGTAAGTACAGAGTGTATCAGGGTGGAGATAGAAAATCATTTTTATAAAACTAGAATGTATTAGCTAATATGATACCATCCCCTCACATGTGGTTTTCTCAGTTTGTGAATATTGTCATGTGCCCATTAAGTTGACAATGCCTTAAAATTCCCCAGTAAATCAGAAACTTCAAGCAGATTTGGCTTAGATTTCATTAAAATCCATTAAATTATTTTTAAAAAGAAGGGAATTCTGTTCCCTGTTTCTTCCCTCTTCCCATGTCTATCCCATTTGCCTTTCCAAATGAGTATTGATGATCTTACCCAGGGTCCTCCTTCTTGCTTGGCTTCTTTAGGTGTACAGATTTTAGTACATTTATACTATATTAAATGTCTAATATCCACTTACTAGTGAGAATAGTCCATGAGTGTCTTTCTGCTTCTGAGCTACTTGACTCAGGATGATCTTTTTTTTTTTACCACAGAGGGCCTCTGAAAGACTCTACCCAGCAGAGTATCAAGCAGATCCTAAGACTGATAGCCAAACTTTGGATAGAGTGCAGGGAATCTTATGAAAGAAAGAGGAGACAGAAAGACTTGGAGGGGACAGAAGCTCCACAAGGAAAACAACAGGACCAAGAAATCTGGGCACAGGGGTCTTTTCTGAGACTGATAACTCCAAACAAGGACCATGCATGGAGATTACCTAGAACCCCTGCACAGATGTAGCCCATGGCAGCTCAGTTTCCCAGTAGGTTCCTTAGTAAGGGGAACAGGAACTCTCTCTGACATAAACTCAGTGGCTGTCTCTTTGTTCACCTCCTTGATGGAAGAGCATCCTTGCCAGGCCACAGAGAAAGACAATGCAATCAGTCCTGATGAGACTTGATAGGCTAGGGTCAGATGGAAAAGGAGGAGGCCTTGCTCTATCAGTGGATTCAGGGAGGGGCATAGGAGGACATTGGAGAGGGAGGGTAGGATTGGGAGGGGACAAAGGAGGGGGATACAAATGGGATACAAATTGAGCATATTTTAATAAATAAAATAAATAAATAAAAAGAAAAATTGAATTATTACAAATATTAAGATGTAGCATGTATTTTTTATAATATAAAAGTGTTTTGTGGTGTATTCGTGCTTTTGGATTGTTTTAAAACCTGTTCCCTGCAACCTAGAGCACAAATAGATTTCATAAGTGTGTGTGTGTGTGTGTGTGTGTGTGTGTGTGTGTATGTGAGAGAGAGAGAAAGAGAGAAACAGAGACATAGACAGAAGTTTTATTTCATGCTGGCATCTTGCTTTAGTTGTGAGTGTGTGATGTAAACTGCGTGCATGATTGTGGGATACATCCAATGTGATCGTTCACTTTTATTATAATGATTGATATATTACTTCCTACGCAAAAGTCCATTAATGTTAATATTCAATAATCTTTCCTGAACATTTGGGTGAGTTAAATATACTGATTAGTTTTAGTCAAGTAACTGGATAATAACCCAGAGTAACTTACTGGAACTGATCAATTTGAGTTCCAATTCAGACTATCTGTAATAGTAGCAGTAGAAGCAATATTAGTAGTAAATGTCTTAATAATATAAAAATACAAACTGAAATGTAAATAAGTTACACAATCTTTCATTAAGGTGAATATATTATCTTACATTAGTATTTCTAGTTATAAGCTGTCTCCACTTACATGCATTTTAATCACAGTATTCATTAACCACAGGGACAAATGTTAACCATATTAAGTTTTTCTATTTGAAATTAATAAATGTTTAAGCATGTCTGGAAAATAAAATCAAGCATAGAGTATTTTGGGAAATGTTCAGATTTTTTTTTCTTCATTTAGATAAAAATAACTTAACAAAGAATATTTTCCCCAAATTGATTAATACTTTTAAATTAATAATGTTATTATATTTAATATCCTGTGCAGTATCAGATGTATTGAGTTTGACTGCATGACTATTTTACATTTTTCTGCAGACATTTCCAACAACTATACATTAAAATTTTAAAGTAAAGCAGTTATATTTTAAAGTGGAAGAGTAAGTACTGAAATACATTTTAAAGTTGTAAAGTTTTACTACTACTAAAGGCAAGTATAATCACTGCCTTGCTCAACCATCGTAGGAGATGCTTTCTCCTGTAGCAGATGGGAAGAAATGCAAAGACTCACAGCCAGACGTTATGCACAGAGCAAGAGACCCCAGAATGCTCAGTTGGAATCTGGATGTCGCCATCAACTTCCTCCCCTCATGGTCCAGGGAAGCTTGAAGAAGAGGAAATGGAAAGGAAAGGAGCCAGAGTTCAGTTTTCAGTGAGATACTCATTCATCATTTTTGAGACATGCTCATATGTAGATCTGGCTGTCCACAAGCTCACTATCTAGCCACAGGAGTCAATGAAGTATATCAGCCCTCAGTTCTATTTCTTGAATGTTGAGATTACTGATGGAAACAATCACTTCTTACTGAACAACATGTTTTTTTGGTGCTATTTTGACAAAATCTGACCCAAAAAATGGAAGAAATAACAGATAATCACCTGAACAGTCAATGTCACTAGAGAGTCCATAGAGAATGACAAAATTGCTTTAAAATTCATATACACATATGAATCTTTAGATGAAATTATCATTTCACTGGGAAGATTTTGCAAATACGTCTAATAGGCTCTGGCTTTCTTTTCATTAAAAAAAAAAAAAAAACAAACTTCTGTAGCAAAATGTTAATAATGAGATCCTCACTTGGAAAGCCATGACAAGATAACAAAATGGGTTAAAAATGATCTGGTGAGTTCATAAACTTAAATGACAAAATGAGAAAAATATAAGGTAACAATTTTTTTTCTAGCTAAATTAAAGTTGTGTCCAGTAAAAATGCAACATCTAGAAAAAGATCTAACCAAGAATGCTGTCATAAAGTATGTCGTTATGACAGAAATAAAATCTGAGACTTTGTAAGAGGATTCAGGTGAGTTCAGTAGGCAAATTATGCTTTCGAACATTTCTAACCAAAGGTGTCTGTAATCATGAGAGACAGAGAGAGGGAAAAGCACTGGAGAGAAAGATAGAAGATGACACTATCTCAAAACACATGTGTCACTGAAACACCCAAACTAGAGATTGTGAATAAACCTTATGAAATTCCACTGATTTGTAAGCTAGTTAAAAATACAAGATTTTTAAAACTGATTTGTGGCAGATGTATTCCTCATTAGTGAATAGTGCTGCACCCACATGACATTTTGTTAGTCTAAAATCTAAGTGAAAATCTAAGTGTCAGGTACAAGCTATCTAAAAAAGAGTTACTGGCAAAGGGGCCTAGGAAGCACTGAAGCTCAAACCAGGTATTGCTACTGCTTGCGGCTAATTGTCCAACCTAAGTATATAAGAGAGCTATTGCTGGAGATGCCACACATTTTGGTAGCCAGGGACAGAGAATTCTTTAAGTGTCCAGTAAACTCCCTCCTCTGCCTATAATTCCTGGTGCTAAGCAGCTGCTGAGCAGGTTGCTGAATGAGAAAAGGCATCACACACATGGCTGTAGCATGGGTAGCAATAAATTTTCACAGTGCATTAAAATCATTCATTTATTAGTTCATTCATTCACTAACGCATGTAACTAGAGGACATGCAAGTAGGAGAGATATGTGAGAACGGTTCTTAGGATGGAGAGAGGGAACACCGCTTACAATTATAATGGTGATGCATTGTGCGTGTGTGTGTGCGCGTGCGTGAAATTCTCAAAAAGAAAGTAAAACCTGTTAAAAACACGAAATTTATCAGACATAGAATCATACATAGAAATTCATAACATATTTGTAATCTTACATAGAAATTCACAACATATATGAGACAGCTGTAAAAATAAAAAGCACCTTCGTTTATATTAAGACAACCATGCCAACATACCTGAAAGCAAGAGGTATGCACTACCTTTATCTGACTGGTAGCCAGTAGTCTGAAGTATTGTTGCCAAGAAAGAAATGTCCTCCACATCTATTCTATGAAGCATTTAAAAAGAATATGGGATCAAGAGCTTGCTGGTAATATTGAATTCAGACCAAAATCTACTTCTGCAAAAATAACAACTCTTTAAACCCTCAAGCTTCTACACAAAGTGAGGTTGTTTGTCCATGGCTCGTGGGATGCTATAGACCATTGATTTATATGTGGCTCAACTTCTTTGCACTCATAATCATTAAGTTATTGATTTATCTCTCTTTCATTCCTGTATTATCACCTTTATTCTGATTAACGTTCTTTGGACCGAGAAGAACAAACTCCACACAATGTAAGCAACAGGACCTGGAATTCCAGCTTACGTACATGATGCTGAAACATTAGAAGGTATTAGAAATATATATGCCAAGTATTTTTTATAGTGACAAGTTAGATTATTATAAAAATAATTATTCTTCAATAACTAGTTACTTGTATCCCACTTCAGTAAATTTATTTCTTCCTAGCAGAATGATTTTTGACACAAATGAGTACAATGACACAAATCTCTACTGAGCTTGGTAGATAAGTGTGTGTGGAAGTGAAAGGAAGAAAAATCTTATATTGATGGTGGGAATGTAAACTGGTACGACTTCTTTGGAAATCAATCTGGCGCTTTCTCAGACAATTGGGAATAGTGCTACATCAAGATCCAGCTATACCACTCCTAGGCATATAACCAAAAGATGCTCAAGTACACAACAAGGACATTTTTTCAACCATGTCTGTAGCAGCTTTATTCGTAATAGCCAGAATCTGGAAACAACCCAAATGTTCCTCAATGGAGGAATGGATACAGAAACTGTGGTACTTTTACACAATGGAATACTACTCAGCAATCAAAAACAAGGAAATCATGAAATTAGCAGGTAAATAGTGGTATCTAGAAAAGATCATCCTGAGTGAAGTATCCCAGAAGGAAAAAGACTCAAATAGTATATATTCACTTATAAGTGGATAGTAGACCTATAAAATAGGACAAACATACGAAAATCTGTACACCTAAAGAAGATAAACAAGAAGAGGTACAGGGTAAGATGATCATTCATCACTCAGAAAGACAAATGAGATGGACATTGGAAGTAGGAGAAAATAAGAAACAGGACAGAAGCCTATGAGAGAGGGTCTCTGAAAGACTCTACCTAGCAGTATATCAAAGCAGATGCTGAGACTCATGACCAAACCTTGGGCAGAGTGCAGGGAATCATGTGAAAGAAGGGGGAATTAGTAAGACCTGAAGAGGACAGGAGCTCCACAAGGACCAAATATATCTGGACACAGGGGTCTTTTCTGAGACTGTTTTTCTAACGAAGGACCTTGCATAGATATAACCTAGAACTCTTGCTAAGACATAGCCCATGGCAGCTCAGCATCCAAGTGTGTACCATAGTTAGGGGAACAGGGACTGTCTCTGACATAAACTCAGTGGCACACTCTTTGACTTTTCCCCTCCTGAGGGAGGAGCAGTCTTGCTAAGCCACAGAGCAGGACATTGCAGCCAGTCCTGAAGAGACCTAATAAGCTAGGCTCAGATAGAAGAGGAAGAGGACTTCCCCTATCAGTGGACTTAGAGAGGGGCAGGGAGAAGAAGAGGAGGGAGGGTGGAATTGATAGGGAATGAGGGAGGGGGCTACAGCTAGGATACAAAGTAAACAACCTGCAATTAATATAAAAATAAAAATTATAAAAAAATATTACATGGACATTGTGGCAAGGCTTGTTCTCGTATATTCCACTGACCTGTCATTGGGAGCAGACAGGGTATGTTAAATGCAGTTTGTTACCTTTAAACAGAAAAATTTTGAAAATTACCCTTAATCCATTTCTTTTCATCAGGGGACTACATCCAAGGTGATCTGGACCCAGTTAAACCACAGCCTGAAGCACAGCTTCTCCTAGGGAACTGGATACAGTAAGAAACAGAAAGTGTATGCTTCAGACCCAAACGAGGTGGGTTTACAGTGTGTGGTTAAATAGAAGTCTTGTGGCAACTGATGATTTGAAATTACAGTGATTTTTTTTCTTCATGTGGTACAATATATTTAATGGTGAACCTAATGTAAAATCTGAAAACTTGTCAATTTAGTTCTATTAACTACTGGATCTTCAATGCCGCTTTGTCATTAGGAATAAAGAGACTGAGCTTTATAAGAGAAACATTTCTCTTAAATATATACTACTACACAAAATGTATTATTGTTATAATTTTAGTTATTATTATCATTGTCTTTATCAATTATTAAAATTATTGTTCAAAGTAATATTATAAATAAAAGCAAAAGTGCAAAGAAGTTTATAGCTTTCTTAAGTTTTCATGAAAATTGATAGCATGAGAATTTAGAAACAGTACTGTTTTCTTCTTTAGCATGAACCTATTTATAATCAGAATTATAGAAGTTACAAGTGAACACAACATTGTAACAGATGGAGTTTATGACATAATTATTTTTGAATTGGATTATAGTGTACTTTTGAAAAGATTAAGCACTATTCTGATTTCCATCTTTTAAAAATTAGCTATATTTAATTTTGTTTCATTTATTGCAGAAACAAGTACTAATTGAATTCACATGGGACTCTCGTCAGGGAACTGTTTCCACTTAGGGCCTATCAAAATTTCACAGTTTACTTTTGTCAATTTGCTAAAGTAACTTAATATTGTAGATAAAGTCTCTCTCTCTCCCTCTCTCATGCATGTGTGTGTGTGTGCATGTCTGTGTGTGAATCTGAGCACACGCTTGTCATAGTGCATATAATCATGAGAAAGCAATTCTAGCAATCAGCCCTTGTCTTCCACTTTGTGTTTGACACAGGATCGTGTTGCTCACTGCTGGCTATGCCTTATTGACTAGCCCATAAGCTCCCGGGAATCCTTTCACCTCCATGTCCCTTCCCCTTTGTCAGAGTACTGGCATGAAAAGCCTGTGCTACAATTCCCAGCTTTTGGTGTGGTTGGCAGTTCAAAGTCGTGGCTTCCCATGCATATGTGGCGAGCTCTTTATGCGCTACACCATCTGTGTTGCCTCGAAATCCCTCCTTTGAATAATAGATTGAAGTAGAGAGAATAGGATTTCTTGCTTTAAGGAACTCAGCAAGAGATAAAAATTTAAAGGTAATGAATTATCAACAGCTTCACTATATATCATGATAAATACAAAATTCAAGGCTCTGGAAAGCTTAGTCTTAACCATTCATGCGAATTTCATATTACTAATATTTCAAAACATATGAAGTAAGAATAAAGTATATTCTAGAAT